CGGAGTGGACCGGGAAGGATGTTTACAAATTGTATCAGACCCGAGGTTCAGTTTCCCTGGCTTTCATTCATTAAGTCAGTATAGTGTGACATGCCATGACTACCCTGAATGAAACTAAGCAGTTGTTGTTCTTTTAGGGAGATGTTCACAAAGAGGTAGAGTGAGTTCCCACACGCCTCCAGAGCAGTGGGACGGGTGAGGCTCCCAGCAGCACCAGGTCAAGAGGCATTATTTAAAGCACTTGCAATACTTTCAGACAGATTGCGAGGAGTGATACCTCGAAGCACCAGTCATAATAGAAAGAGACAGAAAGCCCCCACTGGAGAAGCTTAGGAAAATATGGTGCAAAGAATTCCAAAGCGAGCAAAGATGATTAGTCCCGAAGTAGCTGAAAGTACTGCTAGATGGACATCGAGATTCAGAACAAGTTGCAGTGTACAGCAGAAGACAAGTTGAAGTTGTGCCACTTCATTGCTGAATAGAAGAGCTATAATGGTGGGAACCACTGTGCAACAGAGGGTAGTGAACGAGCAGATCAGCGGACTTGCAATTCTTCGTTGGATGAATTCAAGAAGAATTTCATTCACCGAGGCTTACCTTAGATCGAGAAGGAAGGAGTTTTATACCTGCCCGACAGAATTAGAATGGCTTAACTGAATATGAAAGAGAAATTCACTAGGACTAAGCAGGGTATGGTGACCGAATAGTGGCTACAGAGGCAGAGAAGTGTAAAAAGTTCTAGGAAGGCCTGAACGATGAAATTCAGATGGGAGTGGTAGCTTCCAGATTCAAAGAGTTTTCAGGTTTGGTAGAGGCAGTTTAGGAGATAGAGCGAATTCAGGCCAGTCAGCGTACTAGACGTCAGCGGTCATAGCAGAAGAGAGACCAGACTCTGAGTGAACCCAGTACATATCAATTGGAGAGCAAGAGATTCAGAGGTGCTATTATTTCAGCTAGTTCTAGGCCTCCCTTTAGCCAAGGCACAGCTAGGGGTGCTAACGCACCAGCGGTATCCGTCGTGGCTAGTTCTGCCGGTGGTAGTCGAGGTTCAGGCAGAGGAGTTAGTAGAGGCACCGGTAGGTGTAGAGTCAACCGGTTATACTTTTCCACCTTACGAGCATTATGGCAGACGGCATGGTGGAGATTGTTGGATGGTGACTGGTAGATGTTGGATATGCAGAGCATCAGACCATCAGAAGAAGGACTGTCCTAAGAGGGCAAAAGTTCCTACACAGTTCATAGTAGGTAGAGGTAGTGGTGAGAGCTCCGGAGGGTAGAGACAGCAATCAGCGACTGTGGACAGACCCGATACTAGAGGTCCAACCAGGGTCTATGCTATGCGAGCCAGGGAAGATGAGGAAGCTCCAGATGTAATAGTTGGTGAGGTTTCAGGTGGTCATACAGTTTATGCTTTAATTGATCCTGGATCATGCACATTCATACTTAGTGTACCTAACTAAACCTTGGGTTAAAGGGTTAGAAGTTGTATATGTGAGTCAGGGTCTGGTAGTTACTAATCCACTAGGTGATGTAGTAAAAACCGATACAGTGATCGAAGGATGTCCAATTGTTATTCAGGGAAAAGAGTTTCCAGGAGATCTTATGGAGTTGCCATTTAGAGAATTTGATGTTATTCTGGGTATGGATTGGCTATCTAGACATCAGGCTCTAGTTGATTGTACTTCAGACACTGAGGGATAAACAGCTGTATGCCAAGCTCAGTAAGTGTGAGTTTTGGCTGGAAGAAGTTTCTTTCTTAGGACATGTGGTATGCCGATACAGCCAAAGAAGAGTAATTCAGAAGGTTTGAAGCATTACTTGGTATTGTGCATTACAAGCCAGAGAAAAAGAACGAGGCAAAAAGTTGCAGACCATACCAACAGTGTTGTTTGATTATCCAGATGTATTTCCAGAACAGTTTACCAAGTTACCAGGGTTACCACCAAGGAGGGAAGTGGAGTTTACTATAGATGTCTATCCTGGAGCAGCACCAGTATCAATTGCACCTTAGAGAATGGCAACAGCAGAGCTAAAAGAGTTAAAGATTCAGCTACAGGAGTTATTGAATAAAGGCTTTATCAGACCCAGTGTATCACCTTGGGGAGTGTGAATACTCAAATTTTGAGGCTCAAAGAGCCAATTATCCCGGACTGCAAACAGTCCAGCCGGACCGAAGGCCATTTTGAAAGTTCACCGAAAGTATGCCAATATGGTACTTAAAACGTCCGGAATGTCGCGAGGATGTGTTCTAAAATCGGACCTCAGGTGGGATACCATCAGGTGCGATAGAAGGAAAAGGATATCGCTAAGACTGGCATTCAGACCCGATATGTGTCACTATGAATTTTTAGTTTCATGCTTCGGCTCACAAAATGCACCAGCGGTGTCATGGACCCTCATGAACCGCGGGTTCATTCATATTTAGATCAGTTTTTGGTTGTCATTAGAAATGACCATTTGTCTACTCCAGAACAGGTTGAACATGAATAAACATTTGCGGATCGTACTTCAGACATTAGGGATAAACAGCTGTATGCCGAAGCTCAGTAAGTGTGAGTTTTGGCTGGAAGGGCTGGAAAGTGTAAATTTCTTGGGTTATCATCGGAGGGTATCAGAGTGGATCCTAAGAAGATTGAAGCTATTGTTAATTGGAGACCACCCAGAAATGTTACAGAAGTTCGCAGTTTTCTGAGTTTAGCCAGTTATTACAGAAGGTTCGTAAAGGGATTCTCTATCATTTCATCACCTTTAACAAAATTATTGAAGAAAGCAGTTATATTCCAATGGGATGATAGAGGTCAGCAGAGTTTTGACACTTTGAAGAAAAAGTTGACAGAAGCACCAGTGTTGACCCAGCCAGTGTCAGGTAAAGACTTTGAGATTTACAGTTATGCTTCTCATATTGGGTTAGGATGTGTACTTATGCAAGACAGGAAGGTGGTAGCTCATTGCGTATGCTTCTAGACAGTTGAAGAAGCATGAACAGAATTATCCCACTCACGATTTGGAAATGGCTGCGATCATTTTCGCACTAAAAATATGGAGGCATTACTTGTATGGTGTATCCTGTGAAATATACACTGATCATAATCATTCAAAGTTTAAAAGAAAAACTATTACCAACACAGAAAGATTTGAATTCAAGAACAACGAAGTGGATGACCAGATTCTGAGCTAATGATGATGTATGTCGATTAATTTACCCATCCGGGCAAAGCTAATTGGTAGCTTGATGCCCTTAGCCGGAAATTCATTGTTGCTTTGAAAGCCAGATAGAATTCGCATGAGTTCAACAGCAGGGAAGTGATTCTAGCACAGATGCAATACAGCCATCTTGGGGTTCAGAAAGTTGCAGAAGCACAGAAGAAAGATCACACAAACAAGTACTTATGGGTGAACATACAGGAAGATCGATGGTGGGAAATTCAGATTGATAACCAAGTGGAAGTCTTTCATATGAGACAAGTTGTGTACCGCCAGGAACAGGCGAGCTTAGACAAAAAGATCTTTGCATGAACTCTAACAGTCCCTATACAATGCCATCCCGGTAAGTAGCCCAAGTGTATTCAGAATTTAAGAAAGGGCTATTGGTGGCCGGCATTGAAGATACATATTAACATGTTGTTAAACCAAGATGTTTAACATGTCACAAGTAAAAGTCAGAACATCGAACTGCCATCTGGGTTAACTTCTCCAATAAACAGTGCCAACATGGAAGTTGGGATCAGATCACGATGGATTTTTGTTACTGGATTACCTCAGACGCAGCGGAAGCATATGCAGTATGGGGTGGTTGTGGACAGATTAAACTAAATCTGCACACTTTTTAACCAGTTAGATGGACTATTCTCTAGCCAAGTTAGCCGAAAATTTATGTTAGAGAAATAGTTCGACTAATGAGTTCCATCATCCATTATATCTGATCGTTGAATCCCAAGATTAACATCGAAGTTTTCGAAGTTTTGGGGTAAACTGCAGGAAGCATTAGGGACGAAATTGTATTTCAGCACTGCATTTCATCCTCAGACAGATGGCCAATCAGAAAGAGTCATTCAGATCCTGGAAGACATGATGAGATCATGTGTTATAGAAGTTGAAGGCAGTTGGGACAGATATGTACCTCTCATGGAATTTGCCTACAACAACAGCTATCAATCAAGCATTAAAATGGCACCATATGAAGCATTGTATGGTAGACAATGTAGAACACCTGTGTATTGGACAGAACTTAGTGAGAAGAAGATTTTGGGTCCAGATTTGGTTAGAGAAACGGAAGAGAAAGTGGAAATCATCAGAAAACGGCAAGCAAATGACGGAACAGAAAAGTTCTTATGCTGATTAAAGAGAAGGGATAATTGAGTATCGGCCGGTTATAAAGTCTTTCTGAAAGTTCACCATGGAAGAAAAGGATTCTAAGGTTTTGACGAAAGGTAAAGCTTAGCGCCTAGGTTTCATTTGGTCCATACGAATGTTTGAACGTGTCGACCATTAGCCTAA